GTACATTATATATATATATATCTATAATGTGACAAGGTATACGACTCTGTGTATGTCAGTGAGAGGTTGAAAAGGGCAGCTTTCCCTGTATAGGAAGGGGTTAAGCCTGGCCCAACAGGTACACCTCCTCTCTCTATATTAACCAGTTGACATCCGCGGTGTTACACCCCCTTCCTGTCCCGGCCATTTTTCAGTATTCACATGTCTATTAGACACACACCGAGTGGATTTATATCCTTTGTAGTTGTTGAGGAATATATTTAAATACAAGTTTTTAGAGTTCAGTTTGTAAGTCCCGCACATTACCTGATGAAGTATTTGATTGATGTGGGTCATTGGTCGAATTTTTGTCTTTTCCGCCTGGAAATTAAAGCAAAGACATAATCCAAATCATCTCCATACTGAACCTACAAATGAGACACAAAAGACAGACGGGCACCACATCCCAGCTACCCTCACCCAGCATTCTACTGCTCCTCATACACGGACACATCATCTCTACTTACATGTGGCACCCAGAGAGATGGCGGTTATCAGGAGACTCACACAGATGACGATAAGCGCACAGACCAGGAGAATCGCGTGTCTTCTGCCTGGAAGGGAAAACATCAAAGTCTACTAATAAGGTGTAACACATCCAGGTACCAAAGTGCTTTTCCACTAGTGTTATACTGTATATGTGGTTTTTCCAAATTCAGACCAATAAACACCAATCCAATTCAACAACCCAAAACAATCCAAGAATCCAATCCAAAACCCCAATCTAATCCAATTCAGAAACTCAATCCAATATAAATCCAAATCCATTATACATATCCAAACAGTAAACCCCAATTCACTACAACATCATAATCCAAAAGTCCATCCCAGGGAAAAAACTATTACATTCAATCTGCTGGCATTATTATAAGACTGGAGGTGCCGGTAGATCACAGGTATCCATCACACTGTGTGCTGACCCGGCCAGCTAACCCGGCCAGCTATATCTCTCCATCTATCCCCCAAGACTGTAACATCCAATGTTACAGTGACATCCTCCGTATATGCATGTTGTGGTCACACTCCCTAGCTGTAGAAGGTACACTGAAATTCCAACACAGATTATTATATACATGGGAATGTCTCTCTGGTCTGATATGTCCGTTGTCACCTTGTGTGGGGGAATGTCTCTCTGGTCTGATATGTCCGTTGTCACCTTGTGTGGGGGAATGTCTCTCTGGTCTGATATGTCCGTTGTCACCTTGTGTGGGGGGATGTCTCTCTGGTCTGATATGTCCGTTGTCACCTTGTGTGCAGTAATGTCTCTCTGGTCTGACATGTCCGTTGTCTCCTTGTGTGGGGCGATTTCTCTCTGGCATGATATGTCCGTTGTCACCTTGTGTGAGGGAATGTCTCTCTGGTCTGAGATGTCCGTTGTCACCTTGTGTGGGGGAATGTCTCTCTGGTCTGATATGTCCGTTGTCTTTAGACTCATGGAGCATCTTAACTCCTTCGTACTCTGGGGGATTTTCTGAAAGAAGAAAGACACATAGAGAATGTTTCATATGAGGATTTCTATATAATTCCACTCCCAAAACCATCATTAGGGACAAGGGACAACCACCCGTTCATTGGGAGGGTCTGGACTGAAGTGCTCCACATGTGTGTGGGCCAGAGATAGACTGTGTGGGGAAGGAGGTAAAGAAGGACTCAGCCATGCGTCCGGCACCATTTTTACTGGTAAGAATCATATCTGCAGCAGCTTTCCAATGAAGTAACACCCTGAGATCCAAAACGTGGAGCTGCTACTGCGGCCCTAGACCATGAATAGGTGAACTGTTTACATTTCTATCTATGACCCCACTGGGAAGACTTTCCCTCACTTCCCATACCTGTGACACTGGGACAAGATAAGCAATTGTCTCCAGGACAGGAAGGCCCAGACAGCAAAACACAACAATGTCAGAAGTTCCAAATCTCCCCACTCTACTACTAAAAATACATTTTTGTTTTGTTCATCCCAATTGCTTCCTGTCCTGACCATAAATCTCACCAATGAGTGACACAGACAGCGGCAAATAGCTGACATAGGCACAAGTCCGTCCTAAGGACTCTGATGTAAGGGGGACCTCTGGGCACTGATTCAGTGGTAGGCCTGGTCACTTTGCAGCAATATATTCCTGTCCTTGATTTTTCCTCATGGCACCTTCAGGAGTTTATACAGGTGAAACTCGAATAATTAGAATATCGTGCAAAAGTAATGGCAGTAAGTGCTGCAAAAGGGGCCCAAACCAAGTACTGAGTACATATGCATGCTCGTACTTCTCAGAGGTCCGATATTGTTCTATGTACAATCCTTGTTTTATTGATTGCATGTAATAATCTACTTTTTTGAGGTTGTGGATTTGGGGTTCTTGGGGTTTTCATGAGCTGTAAGCCATAATCATCACAATGAGGACAAATCACGGCTTGAACTATCTTGCTTTGCATGTAATGAGTCTCTCTCATATATTAGTTTCACCGCATAAGTTGCATTAGTGAAATAAATGAACTTTGCACAATATTCTAATTATTCGAGTTTCACCTGTATGTTCTGTTCGTGTATTCTATGGATTTCCTCCGGAGGTTCTTCTTACATCTCAGAGTCCAAATGGTCCGCTTAAACAAAGTCTAAGAAACAGCTGGTGTTCACCAGAGCTCCTGATGGCAGAGATGGTCTGAGAACCCTAGTGGCCCCGGTTTTCAGTACAGAGACTATTGACAAGGCTGCAGACAAGAGTAATCAGTCCCAGGCAGAAGTATTTGCAAGCAAAAGAGTAGCCTGGTCCAAGCAGGGGTCGAGATAGGCAGCATTCAGCAGGCAAGGGATTAATCAGGTTTAGGCAGAGGTCTTGGCAGACAACAAGAAAGAGAATAGTCAGGTCCAAGAAGAAGAGTCGTGAGTCACCTGCACTCAATACAGTGTTGTCATCTAGCAAGATGGTGGTGCTCGTAGTGATGACACGGATGGCACCGAGTGAAACGCCAAAGTGAAGATCGGATAACCTTCAGCAAGTCATCGTCACACTGTGATAAAATGCCAACATTTTGGGGCCACACGGGATCCCTCCTTCAGAAGGTAAATTGGCCCCAGTGTGGGTAAGTATGCATGTGAGATAGCGACCTTGGATTGTAAGCTCCTTAAGGGCAGAGATTGATGTGAAAACCACAATGTAAATGGATATGAATTCTACCTTGCTGGGTCTTGTTGTCCTTCTGAGCTGACTTGTTGAGTTTATTGATAGCGGTGTACATGAATCCTTTATCTTCTTCCTTTGGAGAGACTGGGATAAAACGGAACATATAAATCCCCTATACGGAATAGTACGTCACACACTTATATTGAGCTGCCTGCTCTTGCTGGTACCCATAAACATCCTTTTAAACCTTTCGTGTTGTAATTTGCACCGCTTTAATAGGAGGTGCTTTGCACCTAGGACAAAGTCCTCACACACTGCCACCCCTGTGTAATTTGAATCCATAGTAAGCACCTCTATCGGAGGAAGGAAAAGATGGAGGACAATATGCAAATCCTTTATGATATCAAATGTATTACTGGATTTGTACTCAAAATATCAAGCAGAATGTTATTGGAGTGTTTAGATAGAACAAGATCCCTGGGATATAAATACAGGTGCAGCATATCAAAGAGAAGCAGTCTGCACCTACTGTGAGCTCCTCTGGGGTGGAGCCTGATGTCAGCTGCCATTGCTGAACTTTTACTTACTTGGCTGACCCACTGGCTTTAGTAATTTTTGTTTCATTGATTTGGAACAAGCCGAGGGGTATTGAATCCAGAGGGTCAGATCGATAGTCAGGCAACTAGGATTTTGATCTACTGGCTTTCAATTATCTAGAACTCTTACAAAATATTTTCCTATCAGTTTGGATGTGTGTGTGTGTGGGG